GCGCGGGGGGGGGGGGGTTGCGGGACGGTCTTTTTTGCCTCCCCCGCGCATCGCGGCTCGGCTGCAGTTTGGGAGAGGGGCCTCCTCCCTCCCTCCCACCCCCCCGCGCCCTCCCTGCTTGTTTTTCCGCATGGTTCTAACCAGAGCGCTTTCGAATTCCCCACATGAAGCAATTTTGGGTCAAGAGGCTGTTGTACAGCAGAGGGCAGAAGCTGAGGAAGGGAGACATCGTGGGGCAGGGTTTCCAGAGGGGATGCTTCGGCCCCAAACCCGCTGGGTCATCCCCCCACCTCCCCCCGGCACCCCCAGCCCCAGCCCTGGCTGCCCAGGAGGTGTGAGCGTTTCACAACCTCCCCAGGTCATACACCCGCACTGGCAGCGGTGAAGTAAGCCCAGATGACTCAGAAACACTAAGTCTCACAGATCTGTATCATTAGACCAACACTCCTCAGAGAGGGGGACAACTGTGGGGGGTGGGCCCCAGTCTAGTTGCCAGTCTGCCTGAGAACTGATGGCAGAGGAGAACTGATGGTCTCTTGCAGGACCTCCACCACAGCCTAGGCTACACCACCAGCCTGCACACGTACATACATACATGGATGCTAAGCTTTCTTTTAGGGAAAGTCTCCCCAGTTGTGTTGGTACAGTTGTCCTGGGGGTCTCACTTAGTTAGCACCCATCACAAACCCTCTGGGCAGCCCCCAGACAGATGACAATCCTAGGAGCCCTCCTCCATGTAGATGGAGTCCTCAAGGCACTCAGCTGTTTTCCTGCTGGCCTTCAAAACCCTGCCCTTCTCCACCTCCTGCAATGCCATGGTATGAGGAGGTTGGATCTACAGCCCCACCATCCCAGGGTTCTGCTCCACCCAGGAAAGGGCTAAGCCAAGAGGGAAGCATCCCCTTTAGCAGACCACATGGATCCCTTTAAAATTTCCCTTGAAGGATATTTTAGCCACAGTGAACTAAGACAACTTCACTTCTGAAGGAGAGTGCCCATGGGTGTAATAAGCTTTGACTAATATGCTTTAACTTCTCTGGTTTAGATCATGTCCTCCTTTGACTGAGTGCCTCCTGACCATCCTAACAGTTCAACTCCTTTCTCTTGAGGATCTTAAAAAGAACAGAAGGATGCTGGTTGTTTCACACAACCCTTCTCCCAACTCTGTACAAGCTCTTTAACAAAAGGTCTTTCCCCCTGCAATGTTGTGTAGGTAGGGGATAATCCTTGACTCTGTTTCCATTTGTCCTTTTAAATCCCCTTCTCCTCCATCTAACAATCACCCTTAAGGATGCTTTTTGGAGTGATGGTAGCTTAAATTCTCCAAGAAGAGTTTGTTATTTCCTTCTGTTGTGGGTTGAATCTGTGATTCAGCTACAACAAATACTCCCATGGAAGGTGAGGTGAGGAAGAGAAGATGGGAGTGAAGCAAAGGGATCTAACAACACCTATCTAGTTCTCCTTGGGGAATTTGAGCCCCCTTGCCTCCAAATGAAGGAGGAGCTTCACTCCAGGCTTCACTTCCAGGCTGCAACTGGAATTAAAATGCTGAAGCTTTTCCATCTGGGACCCAGATGGGATCCAAAAATCCTGGGGCCTTGCCTGCTTGACTGGAGATCTGTCTTGGTCCTGATCCTCCTCCTACAGCTGCACTCAGATGATGTCCACTAAAGTCAGAAAGACCTCTGTGTGCAGAAGAGCTGCCAGACTGGGCTGAGCTGGGCAGGAGATGAAAGCTGGCAGGCCGGATCCAGACCTGTAGCAAAGGCAGTGTGGGAGGAACGCCTACTCCAAGTACCTCTTTGTGGGGGATGTCAAACAGGGGCAAATATGTCCAAATTCTGCCAGCTGCTGCTACCACCCAAGAAGAAATGCCTGCTGATGGGATGTGTAGGCAGCTGGAGCTGGAAGAGGCCTGGAGGGAGGGAACAGAGTCCACAAGTTAGGGAGAACCTAGGCAGGGGGGAAAGAACCAAGGGATGGGGTTTCAGACCCCAAATCTCTTCCTCTTTCTCTCACCCTGTCCTCTTGCAGTGCAACTTTTCCTTTGATTTCAATCTGAAAAACATCACTTCTGCTATTATCCTGGCTGATGACATATACCATGATCGACTTATTTTTAACTCAAAAAAACCATCTGAATTACAAACTTTTAAAATCCATCTGCTAAATAACTGCTGGGAGGCTGGTTTGAATGTTGGACCTAAAGAGCCACTTCAATATTGCCCTTTTGTGGCAAACTGACACATGGCAGAGATAGGCTGGGATCCAGTTGGAAGCATTATTTTTAAAAGAAGACCTTTGTTAGAGCTTCTGCCTTTGGGGTAGGGAAAACTGTGCCCTGCCATAAAGCAATGGTCTGATGCCCCTGACTCCAGCCTGTACAATTTTCTCCTTGATTTTGCTCAGTTGCATCATGCATTGCAAATGGGATTGCTGTTTTTGGCACCGATCAAAGCAGCGGATTTTGCTGGAGAAAACAACAGATGTGTCCAAACCGTAACTGCAGAGCAGGAAAAGGCCCCAAATAAGGTGTGTTTCTGAAATCCTGCTCCCCCTCGTCCACGGGTTTGGTTTTTTTTGAGTAACCTTTCCTTTTCTGATTAGCTGAATCCAAGATACGGGATTTTAAATCACCTACTGAAATGCAGGTTATGTGAAATTTGGATCTCTGCCTTGCTGGGATCTCCAGGCTTGGAAATGTAGAGCGCCTGTGTTGTTTTTTTTTTTTTCCCTGCTTCTTTTATTTCTCGCAGCCCAGCCGAGCCCAGCGCTCTGTGCAAACAGCGTGTGGGAAACCACCCACCGCTACAAGGCAAAGAGCCCCGAGGCTCAGCGGGGCAGAGCTGCGCGGGGCTCAGCGCCGGGGGCACCTCCCGTGCTCACATCCACCGTCAGTCTGCTGTTCGGGGGCATTCCGAAGGGGTGACATGCAAATCCCAGCCAGGGTTAGCTCTTTCTCCGAGGTAGGTGGAGGATGAGCAGGAAGATCCCAGTTCCCAGGGGGATAACTCGGCTGGGATCACTGGTCTGAGCTTTGCCTTGCCCTGCCCTGCATGGCCCCACGCGTGGCTGTGGGGCTTCAGTGGGGCTGAGGGAACGTGCCTAGTTTGAACCCTAAGGTTTACAGATGATACTTCCCCTTCCTAATGGAATTATTCACAACCTCTAATTATATGGCTAAAATAGTAAACATGGGTATTTCTGAGGACTGTTAACTAGTAGTTAGAGGAATAGATGTCAAGGCTCCTGGCCTGCTCCTGACTCTCCCATGAACTTTTGGCGTGGCCACTCTTCATGCACCCATCTCCACACAGCTTCACGTGCCTTCTGCCTCAGGACAAGGTGCTCAACCAACGTTGCTTGTAGCCTGGCTGGACTAAGTAGGCATTGCCCATGCAGGAAGCTAATCCTTCTGAAACCTTCTGGTGTTTGGTGTGAGCAGCAAAAAGCAAATTGCTGCCTAAAGGAGGAAGAAAGGAAGTTTGGAGTGGAAACCACCACATTGTTGTCTGCAGAGGTTTGACAACTGATCTCAGAATGTTCATGGAAGTAAAAGCAGACACCTGTGCTCTGAATGGTTTCCTTAATGAAGAAAAAACCTCTGAAGAAAGCAAGGAAGAAACCCCTTCATCTTTCTACACTACAGCCACATCTCTCATGTTTGCAATACTGGGTTAATTTTGAAGACCCTTCTTTCACTCATAATCCATTTTTTTAAACCATTTTACAGTTTCCCTGGCTGGCACCATGAGCAGATGTTCTCCCTGGGCTATGCCCCTCGAAGCTGCCAAACATGTGGCTAAATCTCCTGTCCTAACCTGTTGCCTTGCAGGACAAGGCCTGGCAGAGCAGCTGACAGGGAAGGTGTGTCCCCCCCAAGGTCCCAGTAGTGCCTTGCACTGAACTTGGGCAGTAACTGAGCAGGGCAGGTGCAGGTGATGGCATGGAGCTGGACTTTGAAGATCAACCCACTCCCACGTAGCAAAGGGTAGAGATGAGTTTGCTGGTTTAGCTAATCCACCTTCCCACAGCTGCCCCAGTGAACATGAGACTCACCAGTGTGGCCATGTAAATAGAAGCCAGTGGGCTGAAAGTGGAATAAAATACATCTTTGCAACACCAATAAATAAAATAGCAGGAATGCTTTGCTGAGCTGCAGCTTTGCATCCAGAGGTTAACTGATGAACAGCAGCCCCAGCTGAAGTGCCTGTGGGCAACCCTGCTGTGGGCAACCCTGCTGTGGGCTCTCTCTTTGAGGTGCCTGCTCTGAGCTCATAGCCATAAAAGTCACTTTTAAATGCTCACAAGGCTGAACAAAGGGAAAGGATGATGGGCTGGTGGAAAACTTCCAGTCTCACCCATGGCAGAAAGCAAAACAAGCATGGATATTTTCAGGCAAATAAGAGTTCATCACATCAGCTTTTTTTGACTGGTGTCATTCATTCATGTCTCCCCCTTTCCCTTGCTTGCAAAGCCTTGTGGGGTGAAGCCTGACTCTACACCTGGCAGCATGTAACCAGCCCTTGTTCAGCAGTGTTTGGAAGGCTGGCTGGAATTCACCATCTGTATATTTAGTTCTCTGCAGGG